TACTGCATCCATAGGTGTAGGTCAAGTTCATCAAATTGTATCAGATTACTCTTTTTTCCCTCTTCTCTCTTCTTCTGGTTGAGCTCTGATCATCTAGTCATTGAAGCCAGGTTAAGTGAGTATTGTCTGCAAGTGTGGGTGTTCTTATGCATATGCCCTCTCTTCTTATCAGCTGGACGCTTCACTCTCCAACCTAGTCCTCTGTGGCTATGTCACTGACTCTGGGCCCAAGAGTCCTGAGGTCTTGCCACACTTCTGGCCAACCAGGTCTTCACCCAGGTTCACAGAAATCTATTGAACATTGTAGGGCTTAGCTCGCCACTTCATTGATGTTTTTCCCTCACTTCCCCTTATCCGAGATGAGCGTAGTCACCAATCAGAGTGTGTATTCCCATTGAGTCTTAGTCTTGGAAGGAGGTTTGCACTGAGGGGACCTGACCACTTGCCTTGATGTTTCCTGGGCAAGCAACTTGCTTGTTCTTGTAGTAACAGTCAGTCTGCCTGTATTGTTTTGTTGTATAGGGTTTTTGAGGAGCCACTGGTGGGCTTGAACCACCGACCTTGTAGTTAGCAGTCCAGTGCTTATCCTGAAGTACCACACCAGGACTCCATTGACATATGTGAACAACTAAAATTATTTGTTTGTCTGGATTCAGGTGTCATTGTGCAAGCTGTATTTCATCCGGCACCCCCACGCTCAGGCAAATGGAAGTCATTGAATAACGCGTTTGATGATGTGTTCATGTCATTCTAGCTGTTGGTGTGTTAAAATAGCAGTGACCCTCTCAGCTTTGTTCTCTCCTCAGAGGTCCCACCCAGGTGGCCCATAGACATGGTTTTCAAGAGAAGCTACAAACACGTTGTGGTTGTTAGTGACCGCCGAGCCAGCTCAGGCTCATGAACAGGAGACGTGGCTCCGTCTGGCACCATCTTCCTGGTCCACGGTGTCCACGGTGTGTCTGAGTTTCCAGAGTTGTTTCTTCTAGAAGAATCAGCAGCAGGCTGGTCCTTCTGAGGTGGAGATTAAAGATAACCCAAAAGGCCAACATTAGCAATATGATACATTACTATTGTTATTAGGTGCCATCAGGTCAGTTGCATGCAACACACAGCGACACTGTGTACAACAGAAGGAAACATTGCCCGGTCCTGCGCTGCCTTCACAATCCTTGTTATGTTTCAGCCCATTGCTGCCCCACTGCGCCAATCCATCTCGTTGGGGGTTTACTGTTGTTAAGCGCCATCGAGTTGGTTCAGACTCACACCGACACTGTATAGGCCTTCCAAGGAGTATCTGGTGAGTTTGAACCGCCAACCTTACAGTCAGCATTCCAGTGCTTAGTGTAGTCTCACCCCACAATTGCTGATACCAAACACCACCACCCTATCACATCCCGGGGGTTGGCAGTTCTCTGCAACATCTCACAGATACACAAACAATGAAGGAAATGACTCACCCAGTTGTGAAGGCAGGCAAATCCCCAATCTGTAGTTCAGACCCAGTGCAGTTGTGCTTGTGTTGTTGTGTTCCCTGACTGGTCTTTCCTGAAGACGTGTCCCAGGTCGGTGAGCTGATCTCACACCATCCTCCTTCTGAAGGACACACACATTCTGCCCCTGACACCCGGGTGCAGTGATCCTCAGGGAAACGGACTCAGTTGGAGCGGACCCCCGTCTGCTCTGACCCTGGCCTTCCTGCAGTTGTGCTGTGGCCGACAGGAAGTTCAGTTTTCTTGTTGTGAGGATTCCCTTTGTACCTTTCTCTGGCTTCTCTTTCCCTGCTACTGTTTTTGGTTAGTGTTGGCCCTCCGCTCTGTAGAGAGGCGTAGGGCTTGATCTCCTGTGGCCAAGTGTCTGAATGTATGGTTTAGCAGAGGAAACCGATGAGAATGCCTTTCTCCCTGCTCAGACCAGGAAAGCACCAAACATTGAGCACCGCCACAGGTTGAGTCGCATCTTTGAACAGAATGTGTGTTGAAGAGCAAGCGGGGAGGTGACCTGTTGGAAAATGTATTTCTTTGTTGCGTTACTGAGGTCACACCCCACTAGGCTGGGTCCTAACCCTCCTTCTCCTGCTCTGCCTTCCAGACCACGGCACCATCAAGAAGGTGCGGGCGCCCCTGGGCCCGGCGGTGGGCAGCTGTCTGTTGGAGGAGCTGGAGCTGGTCCCGGAGCGGCGGCCGGAGCCCGTGCGCAGCCTGCGTATCCTGCACAGCCACAGCGTCCTCTTCGTGGGCCTGCGCGAGCACGTTGCCAAGGTCCCGCTCAAGAAGTGCCACCTCCATCTCACGCGCAGGTAGGCAGCCAGGTTCCCATAGAGGGGACTGGTCTTCCCTACAGACCACTTTCCTCAGGAGCCCTGCCAGCAGAGTCAGGAAGGGGATACCAGGGGGCATGGCATAGATGGCAACTGCTGGGGACCCCGTGTACTCTGTGGAACTTCACTGGGTGGTTTTCCAGAAGGAGATTGCCAGGTCTTTCTTCTGAGGCACCCGCCTTCAGTGGGCATCCACTTGCACATCCTGAATTGCGCAAGAGTCACAGAGCAGAGGGCGCTCCTTCTGTGGTTGTCAGCTGTGCATCATGGGAGCGTGGGACCCTCAGTGGCTGTGCTGACATGTGCTAGTTCTGCCTTTAGCCGGCCCCTGTGTACTGTGTCTTTTGAAGAAGGATGATGGGATATGTGTGCAGCCTTCTGAATGTGCTGTTGCATCTTGGGAGACTTCCTTGTCCTGAGTCCCAGGGACCCACAAGTGGGCTTTCCAGGGGCCGCCCTCAGCCCGCCTTATCATCCCACCTGCAGTGGAGTTACTGGTATGTCTTCCTGGAGGCTCGAGGGTGCAGAGGTAAAACAGGAAAGGCATGGGCCCAGGTGCACATTCCTGGTGAAATGATGCGGGAATACCCCGCCCAGGATTGGCAGCCTCGGCCTTCAGGCTCCCAGACTTGCTCAGGGGTCAGGGCTTCTGTGGATAAACTCTCTCCGCACTCCCCCTGAAGCTGAGCTTTGCTGCAGCTACACACCTCTGCACCCACCCCTGTCCCCCAAACACCACGTCCACGGCCAGCCCGTGTCCACCTCTTCCCCCCAAACACTGTGTCCACGGCCAGCCCGTGTCCACCTCTTCCCCTCAAACACCATGGTAACAGCCAGCCTGTGTCCCCCTCTTCCTTCCAAAAACCATGTTCATGGCCAGCCCGTGTCCACCTCTTCTCCCAAAAAACCGTGTCCACTTCTTCCCCCCAAACACCACGTCCACAGCCAGCCTATGTCTGCCTCTTACCCCCAAACACCACATCCATGACCAGCTCGTGTCCCCCAAACACCGTGTCCACAGCTAGCCAGTGTCCACAGTCTACCCCGCCTCTGTGACCCTGGTCTCTGCAGTGTATGGAAACCCACACATCGTCCAGCACATGTGGACTGCTGCCAGCATCTGGTGGGCACAGTGCACCCTGCTATCAGGGGTGTTGTGGTTTCAGTCCCCGGCCTCCACAGTCTCGGGAGTCACCCCAGACTTCTGGCCTCCTAGAGCCCAGGAGAGGCATCAGTTAGCAGGCAGCAGCCGGAGAAAAATCTTGCAGAGTGCAGGGGCGTTTCAGAAAGTCACGGGAAAAGTCAAGTTTCTTTTCATTACATTGTTCTACAAACGATTTCAAGCACCCTCGTGTGGTCATTTAAACAGCTGTTGTCCTTGAGTTGATGCAGCTCCTGGGGGCTCCATGAGACTTTCATTGGCTGCTGGTTTCCAAGCATATCCTCAGGCCTTTCTTCTGAAACTCCTCTGGGTAGACTTTAACCTGCAACCTTTCAGTTCACTGCTTACCCTCAATAACCTGGTGTAGACGCTGGGGGTACAGCGTGGAATGGGGTCTAGCCCTCAGTAACCTGATGTACATGCTGGGGGTACAGCGTGGACTGGGGTCTAGCCCTCAGTAACCTGGTGTAGA